CTCGGGCCACCCTGCCTCCAACCGCGGTCTCCCTGAACGACCGAGTCACGACTTGAAATTCTTCGGAGGGTGTCTTTGGGCCATCTTGGCCGCCATGGGGCTCTCTGCCGTTTTGGGGCTCTCTTGGACTGCCTGGAAGCCCTTTCGGATGGTTGTGGGGCGATTCGGGAGCCTCCCAGGCGGCTTCGGACGCCCAGAAGACCGCCGTCTTGGAGCGTCGGGAAGCCGAAAAGAGGATAACCCCCAAATTCACCAACAACCAACACAAAATCAATGATTGTTGCATCGGGGGGCCTTCTTGGGAGTGCTCTTGGAGGCCTCTTTGGGGCCGTCCTGGAGGCCTCTTGGGCCATCTTGAGGTCAGGTCGGTCACTCTTGGAGCGAGTGTGCTGGGAAGGCTTGGCAAAACGCCCTGCTAGGCCTGGTGGCCGCTTCGAGGCCCGTCCAGAGGGTCCCAAAGCCCCAGATCCCGGAAGTCTATTTTTTTGTTGGGGGGGACGGGTGTTCCCCCCGCCCGGGCTTATAAAAAGATAGGAAGAGGAATTCGCCGGCCCAACGGGCCAGAGGCGTGCTAAGATCTCCGGTAACTTGTTAACAATATTTCTAGTTCGCGCGCGCGGAGCGGCCCCTGGGGGCCCCCGGACGAAAAGTACCCCGGCAAGGTCCCGAGAGAAGCCCGGGAGAAGCCACCAGACCACTCCAGGGGAGGGTATTTTTCGACACCCCTCACGAGGATCGTGGCCTCCGAGGGGGGAGCCGCAATCGACTACCCCCAAGAGCCCCCCAAGAGGCCCTGGGGGCCTCCAAAACGCCGCCAAGGAGCCCCAAGAGACTCCCAAGAGGTCCCCAAGAGGCCCCCAAGAGGCCCTAAAGAGGGCTCCAGGGCCGGCGGCATGAGCGAAGCGATTATATATACATATATATATATATATATACACGTATATGTATATATATGTATGTATATTCATATACATATATATATATAGAAGAAACATCGCGCGCTCTCAAGCTCATGGGGCCAACAGTATAAGCACAGCGCGCCGAGGGGCCGTGTCCGAATGATTGGGTCGTTGGCTTGGAAGCCTCTCTTTGGCGTGTGACGTCGCACTGAGGCTTGGTATTCGCGGCAGTCCTGGGCCATCCTTGGGCAATATGGCAACTCTCTTCGGAACCATGTTGGCCTCCGAGGCCACATTGGAAACACACTTTCGCAGCGCAGGGGGACATCCGGAAAAGAGAGAACAACACGCTGGGATTCCCATTTTTTGGTCTTCGAACGACGTCGCCCGCTCAGAACCCCTGTGGACACTCTGCCGGCCTCCTGGTTGGGTGAAGGAGGAGGAGAGAGGAAGGAAGAAGGGAGGACCCACGGAGGGCGGAGAGGAAGAGGGAGGAGGAGGGGGAGGAAGAGGAGGAGGAGTTGGGGCCTAATGGTGCTGCTGGAAGTCTCCGTGGGGCACCCTGGGGGGCCTCTTGCCGTTGGGCCCCCTCGCGGAACTTCTGCCACAACTCTCTTGGGGGGCCTACCAGGGGGTGCCCCCCGGGGAGGCCCCCGGGGGCGATGATATCGGGGGCGCGCAAACATGGATTAGCGATCCATGGATTTGGCGCGCGGGCGCCAACTCCATGGATCGGGGGAGGTGCCCTCCCCAAAATGCGGCTGGTGCCGCCTCGTTCGGCGGCGGAAATCAGCGATTTCTCATGGGAACGGGACCCGTCGCTAATCCACGCCCCCTTAATCCATGTTTGCGATCGCCTGATTATAGAGGTCGAGGTCTCACGGCTCGAGCCCAGGGCCCCCCGCCCCCCCCCCTCAAAGCGGCACCACCATCCGCGCGAGGGACCATGATGGACCTGCTATCCACCACCACCACCATAAGCTGGAGGGGGGGAGGGAGGAGGAGGAAGACGAGGAGGAGGAGGAGGAGGAGGAGAAGGAGGAGGAGGAGGAGGAGGACCCCATCCCACTCAGACTTAGGACGAGGACCCCATCCCACTCACACTTGTGGTGGAGGTGGTGGACAACAGGCCCATCCAACGAGCGGGGTCTCCCGGTGGTGCGGTGCCCCCTCCCCGCTCGAGGCACCCCCCCCGTACCCCCAAATCGGGGAGGCACCGTGGACCCCCACGGTGGAGGCGGCACCCCTGGTGTTATGTTGCTCCCATCGTACGTAAGGACCACATCCCAGAAAGAATTTCGAGCACCCAGAAAAGTGTCGAAAGAGTGTCGAAAGAGTGTCTCCCAGGGCCCGACACGTGAAAACCCTCGAGTTTGGAGGTGCTTTTCTGGTGCTCGACATTCATTCTGGTGATCAAGGCTCAAGTAGGTTGGAATATCATAACCCTGGCGGTGGTGTCGCTCTGCCTCCCTCCGATCGGCGCACCCCCGCGGGAGGAGGCGGCAGCAAGGAGTGAAGGAGAGCAAGAGAGCGACAGAGGGAGGCGGGGGGAAGAAGGGAGCAGGAGGGAGGGGAGAGGAGGGGAGAGGGGGGAGGAGTGGGGGAGGGAGAGAAGGAGGACGCAGGAGGAGGAGGAGAAGATGTGCTCGCCACCGAGGGGAAAAGAAAGAGAGAGGGTTCGTCCAAACACCTTAGGGGGTCCATCGGATGGGGACCCTTTTGTCGCCGCAAAGGCTGTGACTGGACGCCCCGCGGACCAGCGACAGGACCCCTCGTCAGGATCAGTCCTCAGATGGAAGGACGGACTCTCCGAGCTCACGGGCTTCAGCTTCCTTCAAACGCAGACCCGAGGCAGCTCCCGAAAAACTGGATGCTCTCTCGGACCCTGGGACCTCGCAGGCTGAGAGCCAGATGGCGCATCCAGGAAACGAGAACCGAACAACCCAAGAGCCACGGGACCAGGAGATGTCGCCGCACCCAGCCTGCGAGCCCTGTCGGGGTGATTGAAGCGACGAGAGCTGCTGGAAGTATTCCGTCCGAATTCAGCGCATGCTTAAGCAGAGTTGAGAGACAAATCCGCCGACCCTGTCGGCGTGTGAGACGCTGTTGTCGTCTTCGTCGTCTTCGTCGTCGTCGCCTGTCCCGAAGAACTCTAGAAACGAACAGAGAAACGTCGTACAAGAAACGTCGTATGTCGATGCCCTCCCCTTCTCTCCTCGCTGACAGGGGGGAGTAGGACGAGGTCAGGTTACCCTCCAAGATAGCAGGCCGTCTAACTCACTCCCACCCGCCCTCCCAACACATACATAACATCCGAATGTCAGCAAATCGCTTCGGAACGCCACACATGCCGTGCGCGCCACGGGCTCCAGGTGCACCAGGCACCCTGGAGGCACACACGTGCCAGGTGCGGCACATGCCCCACGTGCGCCAATTGTGCCACGTGCTCCAACCGCGACAGGTGCGCCAGCTACGGGGAACCAATGTGGACCCCAGGTGCCTGGGCCCTGGCCGCAAGGAGTTCAGGATCTCGAGTCCCCATGAAGCGAAGTGCCGAGCATTATGAGAGAAGAGCGGCTCGTCCAGGGAGCGCGCAGCATCCGTACCGATGGACAACGTGGGACATCTTGAGGAGTCGTGAAAGAGATGAGAACTCAAAGAAAAGAGGGCCCTGCGCATGCTCCAAAAGTGAACCAAATGAATTCGTTGGACGAGGATGGCTGGCCTGTGTGCAGCAAACAATATGCCGACACCCCCGTCGTCCGTCAAAAACGGACGCAAAGTGGTCGCAGGGCGACCGCGCATGCGCCCGATTTGGAGGCAATGTGCATTCTGCATCGACTGCTACCAGCGATGGTGGGGGGGGGGTGCTCCTTGGTCAGGGTTCGCTGCCTGTCGGCTGGGGGACGGGGTGTTGATTGATAGGGACCAATCAGCTGGCCATCGCTCGGACGTCCATTTCCTGTGTTTTTTATGTTTCGTGCGTGGTATTTTCGCCAAATGATCGAGGATGCTCCTCGATGGTCCTCGCCGAAGGAAAAATGATCACGTCCGAGCGATGCCAAGTCAGAGGGGGGGTAGGGGGGGGGGCCAGGTCAGATTACCGCCCGCCCTGGAGGCCCGAGGGCGGTCCTTCCTCCTCCTCCTCCTCCTCCTCCTCCTCCGCCTTTTCCTCCTCCTCCTCCTCCTCCTCCTCCTCCTCCTCCGCCTTCTCCTCCTCCTCCTCCTCCGCCTCCTCCTCCTCATGTGTCATTATTCTCTGTATGTGCTATTCATCGTATTACCATGTCTTACCATTGTGCGTAGTTTTCGTCTTCTTCCGTCTCTGGTTACTATCACTCGGGTTCGTCTTATTGTTCGTAGAATGTTTCCTCCTCATCCTCCGCCTGCGCCTCCTCCTCCCTTTCCTCCTCCTCCTCCTTTTCCACTTTCTCATCCTCCTCCTCCTCCGCCTCCTCCTCCGCCTCATCCACTTTCTTCTCCTCCTCCTCCTCCTCCTCCTCCGCCTCCTCCTCCGCCTCCTCCTCCTTCGCCTCCTCCTCCTCCGCCTCCACCTCCTCCTCCTCCTCCGTCTCATCCTCCTCCTCCGCCTCCTCCTCTTCCTCCTCCTAGGGGAGAGGGGGACGCGAGCGACCGATTGGACTGTGACCCATTGGGTTGGTTCCTGCGTATACGCGGCGATGCTTCCTTATGCGGACGCCTCGGACCTATAGGTCCTACGGGTCCTCGGCTGCAGGAAGACCCCGCGGGTAGTGCCTGTAGGCGAGGGGGGGTGAAGAGGAGCAATAGGAGGTGAGGACGACAAGGATGCAGGGGAGGATGGGGACGAGACGGCAAGGAGGCGTTCGAGGAAGAAGGAGGAGGATGCTGACTGAGGAGGAGGGAGGGGGAGCAGGTCCAGGGAGGAGAACATAGCCTCCATCCGCGAACCTCGATTCGCGAACCTCGAGCCCCGACGCTCAACAACAACGACGACGACGGCGGCGGCGACGAGGCCGTCCTGCTGGCCAGCGGCTCTTTCTCGGGGCGGCCTGCCAGCGTCGACCGCGGCCTCCTCGGAAATCCCCAGGTCTGGGGCGGGCGCCCCCCTCGGCGGGCCCATCAGGGCGCGCGCGTCACGGCGGTCATGGGCCGCACCAGCAGGGCGTCCCCCTGCACTCGCCCTCGCGGTCGTCGCCGTCGTCGGCAGCTGCCCTTCTGCTCCTGCTCCTGCTGCTGCTGCTGCTGCTGCTGCTGCTGCTGCTGCTGCTGCTCTTCCTCCGTCCTGGTGCTGCTCCGCCGCCGCCTCCCGTCTCGGCCCCCTCGACAGACGTGTCCTGCTCCTCCTGCTCCCGGAAGAAACTGCTCCGCTCCCTCCAGGCAGAGCTGCCTCCCGTCAGCGCCAGGCCACGTCCCAGCAGGAGGGCGCCAGGCCACAGGGTGACGAGGATCCGACCCCAACCACGAGCTGATCCTCCTCCTCCTCCTCATCCTCCTCCTCCTCCTCCTCCTCCTCCTCCTCCTCCTCCTCCTCCTCCGTCGTGCCCTCTTCTTCCGTGCCCTCCTCCTCCTCCTCCTCCTCCTCCTCCTCCTCCTCCTCCTCCTCCTCCGGGTGAGGATCAATCGAGAATCTCTGAGATCCGCCAGCTCTGGAGGATGTCTCGGAACAGATGCAGCCCCGTCCCAGCCCCGTCCGACCGCTGCCCCCCTCCGCCACGCCCCTCCGGGCAGCCGCCGCCCTGGTCCAGGCGGCCGCGCTCGTCGAAGAACGCCACTAGCTCGTCGGCGCTGGGCAGGTAGACGAAGGGCTTCTCGCGCTCCACGATCTCGGGGGAGGAAGAGGACGATGCTTGGCGGACGCAGAGGGAGGAGGAGGAGGAGGAGGAGGAGGAGGAGGAGGAGGAGAACGAGGAGGAGAACGAGGAGGAGGCAAGGGGCAGCGGGGAGCAGGAGGACGAGCAAGCTCGTTCGCTAAAGCGCGCGGACGGTCTCGTGTCGGCGGGCTCCCAGTAGACAAGCCGAACCGGGCACCCCCCAGACGCACGGCGCAGCAGCATCTGGAGCGAGACTTGTTCACAGGGCGGCGCGCCCGGAGCAGGGGGGGAGGTGCCGCTCGAAGGTCCTGAAGGGTGGTCTGGATGCTTCGGGATGTTTCCACGCATTCTGGGGACGTGAGGGAGGGGAGGAGGATGGAGAAGGGGTTCAGGCGTGAGGATCAGATGAAGGGGGGCAGGGATGGGGGAGGAGGGAGCAGGCAGGAGAGACCAGGCAGGAGGGACGGGGGAGGAAGGGGTAATTAAGGGAGTATAGGAGAGGGGGGGAGGAGAGGGAGGAGAAGGACAAACACAGGGAGGAGGGAAGGAGGGAAGGGAGAAGGACAGAGAGGGGGGGAAGTGAGTGAGGGGAAGGGAGAAAGGGAGAAGGACAAGAGAGGGGGGGGATGGGAAGGAGGGAGAGAGAAGGGGGGAGCCGGCCGAGCAGGGGGGCCCAGGGGAGAAGGAGAGCGACTGAGATGAAGAGGAAGAGGTATAGGGTAGGGGGGGGGGGGGGGGCGAGAGGAAGGGGAGAGAGGGGGAGGAGAAGGGGGAGGAGAAGGAGGGACGGGGGAGGGATGAGTGAGGAGGGATGAGGGAGGGGGAGGCGGGGAGACTGCGAGGAGGCCCTCCTGGGCGCCGCGTGGCTACAGGGCGCCGAAAGCAAGGCGTCCTCAGAGGGGCACGAGCGAGGCGAAGGCAGGGCAGAACTGGTACAAGTACAGGAGGCTCCTGACACGACGGCGTCGGCTCTGGCTTCTGGCGTGCAGCGCGCTCCATCCTGAGCGATCTCAGCTGCCGGGGGCCCCCACAAAGGTCGGGCGTTGCTAGAAGCGCCCCTGGCACAAGGTGCCCCCAGGATCCCCCAGGAGGCCCCCGCGGCCTCCAGAGCACCCCCTCACAAGGCCCAGAGGGCCCCAGGGGCTCCAGAATGAAGCGACAAGCTGAAGGCACCTTGGGCCCGGGGCTCCTCTAGGCAACCCCCGGCCCGGGGCCCCCCGCGCGCCCGCCCCTCTCCCCCTCTGCGCCCCTCCGCTCTCCCCCCTCCCCGGTCCAGCGCGGCATTCCGCCTCCTTCCTCGCACTCCTCGCCGCGAAGGTGGATGATCTGGTGGATACGGCAATACAGGACAGGAGCGGGCGCGGGCTGTCGGCCGGGAGGGGGGGGGCCGCGAGCGAGGTGACATGCAGGAGCAGGAGTATTGTGTGGATGGGCCGCGCCCGTGCCAGCGCTTGATGGGCCTGTTTTCCACCACCACCATCACCATAAGCTGGAGGGGGGAAGGAGAAGGAGGACGAGGAGGAGGAGGACGAAGAGGAGGACGAGGAGGAGGAGGAGGAGGAGGAGGACGACGAAGAGGAGGAGGAGGACGACGACGACGAAGAGGAGGAGGAGGAGGAGGACCCCCTCCCCCTCCAACTTCTGGTGGTGGTGATGGCTAAACAGTCCCAGGCGCTGCTCCCGAAGAGGCTGGACCGCCCAAGCCAGCGCTGCCGCCGCTCCGGCGCGGCCCGCGGCCCACGCCCCGGGGCCCCGGGGCCGCCGCCGCAGGCCGGACTCCCGAAGGAGAAGGCCAAGATGGGCCTGTTCTCCACCACCACCACGATAAGTTGGAGGGGAGGGGCCCCTCCTCCTCGCCCTCCTCCTCCTCCTCCTCCGCCGCTCCTCCGCCTCCCCCTCCTCCGCCTCCTCCTCCTCCTCCCTCCTCCTCCCTCCTCCCCTCCTTCCCCTTGCTCCTCCTCCTCCTCCTCCTCCTCGTCCTCCTCTTCCTCCTCCTCCTCCTCCTCCTCCTCCTCCTCCTCCTCCTCCTCCGCCGCCTCCGCCTCCGCCTCTCCTCCTCCCTCCTCCTCCTCCTCCTCCTCCTCCTCTCCCTCCTCCTCCCTCTGCTCCTCCCCTCCTCCTCCTCCTCCTCCTCCTCCTCCTCCTCCTCCTCCTCCTCCCTCCTCCTCCTCTCCTCCACCTCCTCCTCCGCCTCCTCCTCCTCCTTCTCCTCCTTCTCCTCCACCTCCTCCTCCTCCTCCTCCTCCTCCGCCTCCTCCTCCTCCTCCTCCTCGTCCTCCAACTTGTGGTGGTGGTGGTGGTGAAGAACGGGCCCATCAGGCCATCACTGCGGCCCAGCTTGTTTCCAGGCCTGGCCGGGGCCAGGTAGCCCGGCCGTGGCCTCCACAAATCTGCTCCGCTCGGCGGCGGGCGGAGAAGGCCTCATCGAGGAGGAGAAGGCCGCCTCGAGGAGGCCTCCTCGAGGAGGAGGAGGAGATTGAGGAGGAGGAGGAGGAGGAGGAGGAGAAGGAGGAGGAGGAGGAGGAGGAGCGGGGGGAAACGAGGAGGAGAAGGCCTCCTCGGGCGGGGGGAAGCGAGCGAGGAGGAGAAGGCCTCCTCGAGGCGGCGGCAGGACTGCTCAGACGCCCGCGCGCCTGCTGAAAGGCTTCCCGTGTCTTCGGGGAAGGCGCAGGGGGAACTTCTCGCAAGGCCGGCGGACCTCCGAGCCTTCGGGGAAAGCCCGCCCCCCTCTCGCTTCCCCCCTGGACTTCGCCGCCGATCTACACCGTATGCGGAGACGTGCACAGGACACTGGGGCAATACGGCAGGTTGACGCGGCGATGGTGTAGGCCCTGGCTTCTGGCACCTCGGCCGTCGTTCAGTCTTCGACGATCGCCGCTTTCCGACATCGTTCATTACTGACCGCCCGCGCTGGCGTTGCCGCCGCGTCAACGCCGGCCTCAGCCGCTGTTTCCAGCGGCCAGCCCCCTGGGGACGACGACGGCGACGACGACGACAGGCGATGGGCGATGGGCGACGACGATGGGCGACCGACGACGACGACGACGAAGACGACGACGAGCGACGGACGATGGGCGATCGAAGACAACAACGACGACGACGACGACGGTTCTTTTTTTCTGGGGCTCTCGGGCCACTGGAATCCCACCAGCCTCCTGGGTGTAGGTGATTTAACAAGTTTTGTCTCTTTTTCCACATACCCTCTTTCCCCTGCTCGGGGGAAGGGTTTAATTATTATTCCCTCAGGCGACCGGCAGCCAACCAGGAACCATGAGTACACCACGCGGACCCCTCCTCCCACCGCTCCAAGCAAAAAAAAACAATACAAAATGCACTTTTCCTCCACATTTGAAGCATGCGCGGCCAACCCGATGCGCCCCCCCCATCATCCGTCAAAAACAATACAAAGTTTACTTTGGGGCAAAGTGTTGAAACATGTTCGTGAGGCCCGCGAATACTTTGTATTATTTGTGACAGGGACGGCGGGGGTGTCAGCATACTCTGCTGTGCGCAGGGCTACCATCCCAGACAAAAAAATGCACCTCGCGGCTAAATCGGAATCATGCGCGGCCACCCCGCGATCACTGTCAAGTGGTTCTTGACGGGGACGGCGGGGGTGGTGGCGTATGGCCTGCTGTGCGCAGGCCCACCAGACACAATGATGGGCATTGCTTTCTCGACAAGGACGGTACGGGCCGCAATGTAGCCCGATGTTTGCTGTCACGTGCGCAGGCGCACCTGACACCCTTCGCACGTGCCCCGAACGTGGCGCACCTGCCGCGGTTCGAGTATGCGGCACACCCGGCGCACGCGGAGCACGTGGCGCATCTGGCGCACCAGGCGTGCCTGTCACGTTCGGGCCCCAGGGGTGCCTGTCGCGCGTGGCGCGCCTGGCACGCGCGGCGCACCTCGCCCCAGCGTCGCGCACATGGGGCCAGTGTTGGCTCCCACTGGCTGCCCATCCTCCAAACACGACCGCTGAACATGCTCAGGTTCGGGTGGTACTTCATTTGTTGGGAAGGCGGGCGGGAGTGAGCTTGACGGCTTGCTAATTTTCTGGGAGGGTGTCTTAACCCCTCCCCCTGCCCCCTCCCCTGGGCCGGCCGGGGGGGGGGCGCGAGGCACCAGAGCGCCCAAGATGGCCAGATGGCTCCAACAGGGCCTCAGAGAGCCCAAGATGGCTTCCAAGGTGGTTCCAGATAGCCGAAGATGATTCAACTGAGCCGCCCACATGCATCGAAGACGCCCCAGGTTTCAAGTGCCTCCAATCCCTCAAGGACCCCCATCCAGAGGCCAAAATGGCTCCGAAACATCCAGGATATCAATGCGTTGTGCGTTCTCGCCGTTTCGCTTTTGATGGGTTCCCGAGGCCTCAAGATGGTCCCAAAATGGCCCAAGAGAGCCCCAAGAGGGGCCCAAGAGGGCCCAAAAACACCCCAAGAGCGCCTCAATACTGCCCCGAGATGTACTTTTTGAGCCTCCGATGGGGGGGGTGAACTACGGGGCCAAGACGACCCAAGAAACTTCTCAGACCCGCCCGGAGGGCCCAAAAAGGGCCCAAAGAGGGCCCCAAAAGAGCCCCAAGAGCGCCCCAAGAGGACCCCAACAGGACCTCAAGAGAGCCCCAAAATGGTTCCAACAGAACCCCGGGAACCTCTCACATCAACGCTTCAATTCGCATGGCAAACTGATTCTGAATGGGCTGGTGGGGATACGTTTTGGCACGGAGACGCATGATGCGAGTCGGACGCCAGGCAAGCAGGGGCAAGCCCTGCCACCTGCGAATCGAATGTTGGTGGGGATATTTGTTCCGTCGCGGCCGCAGGCGACAGCGCCGGCAGCAGAAGCAGAGTCGGCTCGGGCTACGACGCTACATGCGAACCTAATTGCCGGCGCGCGCGCCGAACTAGACCAGACCTACCGCCGGGGGAAGCAACTGCGCCGGGGCTGAGCTGCGCCGAAGGCGGGGGCTGCAAGCTGCAGGGGCTGCCAAGAAGCTGCAAACGTTCGAGTACCATGGGAGCTGAATCGCCAGGCGCGTGAATTTGACCTTGTCGCCACACGGCGCCAGAGGTCAGGGCAGCGGGCCGACAGGTGACACGCCTGGCCGTTCAAGAAGGCTGAACCACTCCTGAGTGAATCGGCGAACCAGTATCCCATAGGGCCAGCTGGCTTACCAGAAGCCAGGGAAGTGCAAGCACTCGTGCCCGAACAGGTCAGAACGCACGCCACCTGAACACCAGGGTGCCTCATCCAGCTCCACGGACCAGAATGAAAGCCAAAGGCGCGAAGGACGGACGCATCCACCGAGGGCTGAGGGGACCTGAACCCGGAAGCCTGCGGCGAAGGGGAGCCACGCACAGCCAGGCAAGGCGGTGACTGGGGACGAGAGGCCAGGGAAGTGCAAGCACTCGCGCAGGAACTGGTCAAGACGCGTGAGTCGAGCTGGTGGGAACACTTGTTTGTCGCAACCGCAAGCGAGGGCGCCAGCGGCGAGTCGAGTCGGCTCGGGCTACGAGCGGAACTAATCGCCGGCGCGCGCGGAGCTAAGCAGGACCTACCGCCGGGGGAAGCGGCTGCGCCGAAGCTGCGCAGCAGCGCCGGGGTTGGGGACTGCAAGCTGCTGGGGCTGCCACGGAGCTGCAAACGTGCGAGCACCATGGGAGCTGAATCACCAGGTATGCGACTGGTGGGGATACGCGAAGCGTCAAGAATTCCTGGCAGGATATAATGGCAATCGCCTATTGGCCGTTGGGCCGCCCCCAGCCTCGCATAATAATCGGGTCGAATGCCCTAACACGATGACAACAGTAGTGTACCTGCCCGCCTGCCTCGGCCGTACGCCTTGCACTATTAAAGAGTGTGTCGGCACTCATTCTTTTAAAAGCATACGCACGACGACGGGCGACGGACGACGACGACGACGACGACGGCGACGACGTTCGACGGCGACGGCGACGGCGGCAACGACGACGACGACGACGACGGGCGAAGACGGCGAAGACGACGACGACGACGACGGGCGAAGACGGCGAAGACGACGACGACGACGACGACGGCGACGACAAGCCACGGGCGACGGGCGACGGCCGACGACGACGACGAAGTCGGGTGTGGGCCGGCGGGGGGCCTCTGGGAGCGCGGTGAAGAGCACGGCCTCGCCGCAGCGCCCGGCCGCCGCACGCCCAGCGGCGTCGCCGCCAGGGGTGCGCTGGCGCAGGATGCCCTGCGCAGGGAGGGCTCGTCTTCGGCGTCGTCGTCCTCGTCCTCCTGGTCCTCCTCCATCTCCTTCTCCCCTCCTCCTCCTCCTCCTCCTCCCCCTCCTCCTCCCCTTCCTCCTCCCCCTCCTCCTCCTCCTCCTCCTCCTCCTCCTCCTCCTCCTCCTCCTCCCGCTCCTCCTCCCTCCTCCTCCTCCTCCTCCTCCTCCTCTCCTCCTCCTTCCTCCTCCTCCTCCTCTCCTCCTCCTCCTCCCCTGCTGCCCCTCCTCATCATCCCCCCTGCCCCCTCATCATCCTGCATCCTCTTCCTCCTCCCCTCCTCCTTCTACTCTCTCCCCCGTCTCCTCCTCCTCCTCCTCCACTTCCTCCGTGCTCCGTCCTTTCCTCGCTTCTCGTCAACCCCTCCGCAGCATCCCCCTCTAAGAGTCTTAGACGAAACCAGGATGAGGATAAAGTCGGGGGATAATAAATCGAGAATATCTGAGATCCGCCGGCTCTGGAAGATGTTACGGGGGCCGCGGCCTTCTCAGAGCGTTTCAGGACTCTCTGAGAGCGTTCGGGTAAGCTCTGGAACAGATTTATCCTCGTCGTAGCCCCGCCCAGTCCTTATCCTCCTCCTCCTCCTCCTCCTCCTCCTCCTCCTCTCCTCTCCTCCTCCTCCTTCCCCTGCTGCCCCTCCTCCTCCTCCTCCTCCTCCTCCTCCTCCTCCTCCTCTCCTTTCCCTTATAAATAACATCCCCGTGTCGCACACCGAGGCGAATGTTTAGGTCAGGTCGGGCTTTCCGCCTGAGACTTCATCACCATTTATGACCCTGAAGCTAAAGCATTGGCTACAGTTTCACAAAACGAGGGTGTGTGGTTTTCAAAATGTCGCTCTCGCCTCAGCACCGCGCGCATTCGTTTTAAAAAAGATGTGCAAGAGTTTGACGGATTGAAGGCAACACGTTTTCAAAATGATGCTCTCGCCTTAGCGCCGCGCAAATTCTTTTCGAGATATTGCAAGAGTTTCACGGACTGAGGGTGGTTGCTTTTTCAAAGTGTGGCTCCCGCCTGAGCGCCGCGCACATTCGCTTCCAAAATGTGCAAGAGTTTCACGGAAACCCACACTCAAGGAACCAGAAATGGTGTTGTGGAAGGATTCAGGATTTTGCAAGACTGACTTCCCAAGAACTCTGGCACGATTTAGGATCATCAAAACGCCACAGTCAGGATGATCCGTGGCGTTGGAATCCCGGGGTTAATGTTTTGGCACGCCTCAGGGACTTCGAAGGGTTGTCTTCCAACGAGGCAGTTCCCTCAGTGGAAATGAACCGTTGTAGGTGGTAGGGGCCTATGAGGAGGGAGTTTGGAGGGAGGTTGATGACCCCTTGGGTTTACACTGGTCCTCCTCCTCTTCCTTTTCATCCTTCTTGTTTCCGGATCTCCCTCATTCTGGATACGCGAGGTCCGAGGACCCAGATGTTTGGACGGTTGGTTCTGCTGCCACTTTTTAACCTCTGGAGGCCTCCCAAAGCCTCACCCCCTTGGGGAGGGGTGGGAGGGGACGTGACACAATGACGACTACAGTAACGGGCAGCGTCGACGACGACGACGACGACGACGACGACGTCAACAACGATGGCGACGACGACGACGACGACGACGACGACGACGACGACGGCGGCGGCGGCGGAGGCGTTGGCGTTGACGGCCGGGGGAGGTGGGCAGGGAGCAGAGAGAGCGGAGGGGGGCAAGAGGGAGGGAGGGGGGAGTAAGATGAGGGAGGGGTGAGGTTACCCCCTCCTTCTCCTCCTCCTCCTCCTCCTCCTCCTCGTCATCATCATCATCATCATCATCATCAGCATCATCATCATCAGCATCATCATCATCATCATCATCATCATCGTCATCATCATCATCATCATCATCATCACCACCATCACCATCACCATCACCATCATCATCATCATCATCATCATCATCATCATCATCATCATCATCATCATCATCATCATCATCATCATAACCACCACCGCCACCATCATCATCATCGTCACAAGCATCATCATCAGCAGCAGCAGCAGAAGCAGCAGCAGCAACATTAGCATCAGCATCATCAGCATCATCATCAGCATCATCATCAACATCATCACTATGGTCATCCATCATCATCATCATCATCATCATCATCAGCAGCAGCAGCAGCAGCAGCATCATCATCATCATCATCATCATCATCATCATCATCATCATCATCAGCATCATCATCATCATCATCATCATCATCATCCGCCTCCTCCTCCTCCTCCTCCTTCTCCTCTTCTTTCTGCAATTACACATTATGAATCGTGCTCTCCTCTCTCCCCTGATGACGTTCGGAAGATGTCCGGCCCCCCTCCTCGTACTGTTTGTTTATACATGGTTCCTGACATTGTCGCTTGGGTTCTTCTTTTGAACCCGCTGAAGCGCTGGCCCCATTTCTGCGCCTCTGGTTGTTCCAAATCGTGTTCCCGCTACAGCGCGGGCGTATTCGGTCCTTCCAAATAGGCCCGAGAATTTAGAAAATGCCCCCCCGAACAAAACATCGGAAGTGATTCCACATTCGGGGTCGATTCGTTGTTGTTGGCGGCCGCAGAAGCCCCCACACACACTTTGGGGCGTCGTCATTTTCAGGAAGTATCAAGTGGGAGCCCCATTTCTGCTTTGAGAAGGCGATGTTGAAAGCAGAGGCAGCGGGTGCTTTTCATCAGCCCCGCCTTGTGTGGAGCTTTTCGGGGAGTCCAAGGAGCTAGACATGGAGCCACGACTCCAGACCAGCCCAGACCTCTCGAAAACGATCCTCCTACCCTCCCAGGAGCCCGGCGCCATGCCATGACATGCTGTGCGGTGTTGTGTTCTGCGCCGCTATGCGATGCCATGCTTTGCTTTGCAACGCTTTGTGATGCAATGCTTCACTGCGCAATGCCACGCCATGCTGTAGCATGCTACGCTCTGCCGTACTCGTCTACGCCATGCCATGCCGTGCTCTACCATGCATCGCGTACCCTCTCGTAATCATGGCTCTGCTCGACATCCGACTGTGCGAATAGAGAGGATATCTACGCCATGGTAAGGGATGGGAGGGAGGGGTAGGACGCCAGATATGACGCGAGCGCACCTGGCTTGCCTCTCCCCCCCTCCTCCTCCTCCTCCTCCTCCCCCACTCCGTCCTCCCTCCCCCTCCCCCTCCTCCTCCTCTTTTTCCTCCTCGGAGGGAGGGAGTCAGATTCTGCGGCGAGCGAGGGGGGGAAGTGAGAGGGGGCAGGCCTTTTTAGAATCGGTTACACGCAGGAGTGACCCTGGGTAAGAGTGACCTTTGGTGCGCAGCGTTTCGGGGCCTGCAGGGGGACCAAACACAAGAGCACAAGAAGCTACCATCGCATTGCGTTCGGCGATCGGGGGACCCCCATGGGCCCGCACCACAGGTCACTCCAGCGACGAGTCACTCTGACGTGTAGTCGACAGAAGAAGGCGGGGCTTCTCAGAAACCCCCCCAGGCAGACCAGATCTGCTTACTGCATGGGACCAGACCATCCCGGGCAGCTTTCGTGCCTGGGGGCCCGACAGAGGAATCTGGGAAGAGACGCTGGATCGAAGACAAACCACCCGCCCGAAGACCAAGCTCGGGCCGGGCGAAAGGGGGGGATAGCACAGGGGGGGTTTGAGAATCAGCTCACGTAGCTGATTTTCCCGGCGCCTCCCGGCGCCGGAGGCGGCTATGTATCGAGGAACGGGCCCCTCGGTGGGGCCGAAACCAGCTACATGCAGCAGATTTCGTACCCCCCCTTTCCCAAACCCCCCCTTTCGCCCGACGCGACAAGCATCTGGACATACCACTCGAGCAGCTACTATTTCTGCCTCCGGCTGACGGGTCTGTGAGCCAAAGAGCCCGGAAGGCCGGGCGAGCTCGACCGAGCGGCGCCGGCTGCGGCGCCGCCCCTTCCTGCTCGCGGGGGCGCTGGGCGGCCCCCTCCCCACAGGAGGGGGGGAGGGAGGGGGGGAGGAGAGGAGGAGGAGGAGGAGGAGGAGGAGGAGAGGAGGGGAGGAGGAGGAGCAGGGGGGAGGAGGAGTGAGGAGGAGGAGGAGGAGGACAGGAGGAGGAGGAGGAGGAGAGGAGGAGGAGGGGAGGGGGAAGGGGGGAGGAGGAGGAGGAGGAGGAGGAGGAGGGGAGGAGAAGGAGGAGGAGGAGGAGGAGGAGGAGGAGGAGGAGGAGGAAGCGGGCGGCCCTCTCCCCACAGGAGGATCAGGGGCCAGGAGAAGAACTGCACGGCGGGATTCCACACGAGCGCGGCGGCCGTCTAGCCCAGCGCGCTCGCACGCGCCTCGCGCGCGCTGCTCTGGATCTCCGACCAGCTTCCAGACTCGGCGGCCTTCTTGACGGCGGCGTCGGCTACCATCCAGCTTCCGCCTGCCGCGAAAACGTTCGGGAGCGACACATGCTTCGAGACCAGACTCCATACACACCCACCGCCTGGAGAACTGATGCCCTCGGATCCCACGAGGCGGCGGATTTGGATATTAGAGAGCGCGTCTTCTGCATTCGCCTCACGTGTGAAAAAAAACCTACCTCCCACGCTCTGGAACCGCCCCCCCCCTGAAGTCCGGAAAATCCCCCCCGTGCCCCCACACCCTGGCGAGATACGCCCCTCGCCTACAACCCTTACCCGCCCCTCTTCCGAATGTCGGGGGGGATCCGGCAGCCCCACCCCTCGCCCCGTCGTCGTCGCCGTCGTGAGCGAGTCCGTCAGTCCGGCGGGCGGCCGGAACACGCCGTCGTCGCTGTCGTCGTGAGATCATCGATCGGGTGGGAAACGTCGTCGTCGTTTGCTGGCGCGGGGCGTCGTCGCCGTCGCCGTCGCAAACGCCGTCGTCGCCGTCATCGTCGTCGTCGGCAGGGCGAGTCCGTAAGTCGAGAGGGCAAGCGGGACACGTCGTCGCCTTCGTCGCGGGCGAGTCGGTCGGGCGGGCGTGTGAGACACGTCGCCGTCGTCGTCGTCGTCGTCGTCACGGTCGTCTGCCCGCGCCCCGCGTCGTCGCCGCCGCTGGCGCCCACCACTGGGGAGGGAGGTCGAACTCCCTCACATCTCGGATTGAGGGGATAGGATACCCCTCTGACATCCTCCATACTCGGAAAAAATCTGTCGGGTATGATCAAGCCCTGGGGAGGGGGCAATGCTTTCCATTTCCACTGCCTCCAGGGGCCCTGGGAAATTGGTTCCCCAGGTTGTGGGTACGTGCGAATTCAAGCCTCGGACATACTCCTTGACATTTGCTGCCGTGATCCCTCCAGTCGGCATGAATATGACGTCCGAAAAGACGGACCCGAATGACTTGAGCATGCCCACGCCGCCGCAGTTGGAGGCGGGGAAAAACTTCAGCACCCTGAGCCCGAACTCGGAAACCGCGCGCATCACCTCTGTTGGGGTTGCCGCCCCTGGAAGATAGAGCACGCTAAGCTGCCGGCACCTCTCGGCAACCTTGGGGCTGAACCCGGGCGACACGATGAAGTCTGGACACATCGTCGCTTGGCCGCCCGAAGGGCCAGGGGAGCCCAGGCACAACCAAGCAGAGACCTGTCCCTGGCCCGGGAAAGCACTCCAAACGGTGAGGGCCCATGCGAAGCCTGATGCGCATGCATTCCCAGGCAGTGGGCCTGCCACGCTGTGCCTGGGCGCCCTGGCCCGCACGGCAGCTGAATGACCATGAGTATGCGCCAGCGTTCACAGCCAGATCGACCTGCTCGGGCTCCAGCACCGTCCCCGCCCCAACGCACACCTGGTCGCCGAACTCCCTCGCGACCTGACCGATCGCGTCCACGGCGCAGGGCGTCCGCAGCGTGATCTCGGCCACGTCGATGCCGCCAGCGAGCAGAGCCCTGACGAGGGGCACCCCGTGGGCGGCGTCCTCGATCTTGATGACGGGGATGGCCGGAAAGGCTTCGGGCTGGGAGCGGACGGCCCCCACAGACAGCCCGGGCCAGCCTCCGCCAGACCCCCAGGGGAAGCCCGAGGCGGTCGCGGCACTCGCGGCACATCGGGGCGGCGACTCTGGCCCAAGGGCGCCCCACGAGTGAGACCACCCCAAGCTGCCCAAAGGGGGGCCCCGCGTGCGGGCTGGGCGCGGCCCCGCGCACAGCCAACCCGTACACCGAGGACGCGCGAGAAGGATGCAAGGGCCTGCGAAGGCCACGTTGACGATTTTCGAACGGGGCTGGCCAGCGAAAGCTGCCAGGGATGGGCCGAAGGGAAGGATGAAGGGGTAGCCTTGGAAAGCTGCTCATCCACACTATTGCGGGTTGACTGTGCCCCGAGCTGCCTGCGGGGCCCTGAGTGGGGGCAGCCAAGACGACCTTTGCACGACCCTGCGTAACTCCGCGGGTGCTGCGCAGTTCAATGGGCCAAGGCCTGCCAGGCATGGCGCAGCCCCACGCAGGCAGCACGGACTTACCCGAGCGCGAGGGCATGCTAGTCCCCAGAGGTTTCTGGAGGTCCCGAGAGATCGGGACGGGCGAGGGGGGGGTGTAAAGGGGAGCTAGCGAATCGGCTCACACAGCTGATTTTCGACAGCGTTCCCCGGCGTCAGAGGCGCCATTGTATCGAGGAAACTGCTCGGTGGCAAAGGGCCGAACCTAGATGCACGCAGCAGACATCGTAACCCGCCATTCCCCATCCCCATTTCTCTCCCGACCCGAACAGAGGCTGCGGCCCCCTCGAGGATCTCGAACCTCAAATGATTCGCAGCCGAGTTACTCCGAGTATACTCAAAGCAGCTCGAGGCGAGAAGTTATGATGCCCCAGCGCCTTACTTTGCTTTGGGGCATAACAACTGATATGGCTGCTGATGCTCCCTCGTCCCCGCCTCCCTTTCCGCCGCAACCAAACTTGACGCAGCAGCGCTTTCGGTCCAAGCCCCAGCTGCGGCGACACAAGGGGCAGGACGACGACGACGACGACGACGAGAAAGACGAGGCAGAGGACGAGGACAATGGCGACGACTTCGTTCTTTCGTGGATTTCGGCCTTTCCAGAACGGTCGGTGGGACGAGCCAGACCACCCAAGCTCAAGATCTAGCAGCGAAACTACCGCGCAAAAAATGGAATGGAGAAACAACTGCAATGCCAAAGAAATGTGATGTCTACCCAAAGACTAGTCTACCCTGACACCAGCCACGCTGATCAGGCTACCCAGACACCGGCAAGACCAGTCAGACTACTCAGACAAGCCAGACAAACTGAAGCTGAAGCTCTAGCAGCGAAAAGACAGCCGTAACAAATGTAATGAAGATAAAGTGCAATGCAAAAATAAGAACAATACGAAAAAGTGTTGTGGCTACCCAGACACTCGTCCACTCAGACACCAGCCAGATTGGTCAGGCTACTCAGACACTGGCCAGACCAGCCAGACCAACCAGACCAGCCAGACCAACCTGAGCTCAAGCTCTAGCAGCGATGCTAGAGCGATCTACCTGTCGCCAGCGTGGGGGGTCAACTATCCCTGAACCTTCCCCAACCACGCTGGCTCGCACGCGGAATCCTAAACTCAAGCCAGAGCAGCGCCACTAACAGTGCAAAACAACTAAAAAACTGCAATGCAAAACAGCTATTTTTCTGTGGTCGTAGTCGCCGGCGTGTACGCTTCAAACATTCCTGAACCTCCCCAAACCAAGCTGGACTCGCACGCGGAATTCAAGCTCAAGCCCCAGCAGCTCCACTACAGGGCAAGAAAAACTGCGATGCAACAAAAAATGCAATGCAAAACATACTGTTGCTGTGTCGTCGTAGTGGCCGGCGTGTGCCTTCAAACTCTTCTGATCCTCGACAAACCACGCTGGGCTCGCAGGCGGAATTCAAGCTCAAGCTCCAGCAGCGCCACTGTAGCGAAAAAAAACTACAATGCAACAAAAACTGCAATGCAAAACACAAATGACACAAAACAACTGTTTTTGTGTCGTAGTCGCCGTCATGTGCGCTTCAACTCCTCCTGAACCCCGCCGAACCACGCTGGACTCGCACGCAGAATCCCACCAGCCCTCTGGGCGTCGGTTGTTTAGAGAGTTTCCTCTTCCACCCATCCTTCTTCCCCTTCGGGGAAGGGTTTACCCCTCTCCCTACCCCTTCCCCTGGACCTGGACGGGGGGGTTCGCAAGGTGTCAGGGCGTCCAAAACGGCCTCGGCGAGGAGGCCAAAATCACTGATTTCACAAAGGTTTTGGCCACATGTTGGCCTCCTGGGGGGGCGACTGTAATCCGTACCCCCCCCCCCTCCTGTGATCGATCTCACCCAAGATGGCCCAAAGGTGGCCCCCAAGGCTCCCAAGGGTGCCCCAAGATGGCCCAAAGATGGCCCAAAGATGGCCCAAGGGGCCCTCAGGAGGCCCCCAAGAGACCCCCAAGAGGCCCCAAGAGACCCCCCAGAGGCACCCAAGATGCTCCAAGAGGCCTCGGCGAGAATACCAAATCATTGATATTAGGAAGGTTTTAGCCACATGTTGGCCTCTTGAGGGGGGCACTGATGCAGATGACTCCAACAGCGCCTGGGAGAGCCCAAAATGACCTCCAAGATGGCTCAAGATATCCCAAGCTTCCTCTGTGTGCTGCCCACTTCCCTGATCGAGGCAATTCCTCTGGGCATTGTTTCTGGATGGGCTGGTGGGGATTCGCGAAGCGTCAACAATTCAAGCTCAAGCTCTAGAGGCGCCATTACAGCGCGAACAAAACTGCAACGCAACAAAAACTGAAATGTAACGAAACTGCAACACATTAATAATAATAATAACAACAACAACATCAACAAGAACAACACGAACAACAACAACAACAACAACAACAACAAAAACAACAACAACAACAACAACAACAACAACAACAACAACAACAACAACATCAACAACAACAACAACAACAACAACAACAACAACATCAACAACAACAACAATAACAACAGCAACAGCAACAACAACAGCAACACCAACAACAACGACGACAGCAACAACAATTCCAACACTACCAACAACAACAACGCCAATACTAACAACAGTAACAACAACAACAACAACAGCAACAACAACACCAACAACAACAACAATAACAATAGCAACAACAACCACAATCAGTTTAATACAGTTCGCTCCTATCTTCTAACGTGCCAATCAATACGTATATCCAAACCCTCGGTACCCGCCCTCGTCGTCTTCGATCGTACCCCCTTGGGGGAATATCTTCCCTACCTGCTACGTGTATGTAGTGCAGCCCCTAAAAAAGGGGAAGAGAGGACGGGTGGAAGGGAGAGGGAGAAAAATGGAGCACTAGAGAAATTATCAGGAGGGGGGCAAAGAGCAGATAACAAGTGGTAGAACCAGACGGGCAGATCGGGTGGGCAGACCCATAGCGGGCAGGTCGGGAAGGCGGGCCCAGGCGACGAGGTCGAGCAGGCGGGTTGCTGAAGCGTGGGTCCTGCATGAGTCGCGAGGAAGTCTCGAGCGATACCGCGATTCCCAAGTAAATCGTGAGAAAAGCATGCTTGGGACACGAAGGGCATAAAATCCGAGGCCAAGAGGGCATCGACGGGGCCGCAGAGGGCAGCACCGGGGCCACGACGGGCAGCGAGGGGGCCACAAAGGGCGACAGCGGGGCCACAAAGGGCATGCATATGGGGCAACGACGGGCGCGAGCGAGCGGGGGCCACGAAGGGGATTCGTATACGGGGCCACAAGAGGTGACAGCGACTCACTGAGGGCAGCCAGCAAAGGGGCGATGAAGGGCAGCGAGGCGTATGGGGCCACGACGGGCGCGTGCAAGCGGGGGCCACGAAGGCCATATAATGCGGGGCCACAAAGGGCAGCGACGGGGCCACGAAGGGCAGCGAGCAAAGGCGACCGCGGAACCAGTACGGGCAGCGAGGGGCATCGAAGGCGGGCGAAGGGCAGCGAGCCGCGACTGCAGTCATTCACGGGCTGGTCGGGCGGGCATGCCCCGACGGGCGGGTCGAGCGGGCGGGTCGTTGACGCGTGAGTCCTGCTTGAACAGCCAGGATACATGTAGCAGGAGCGCGAGTCCTGAGTGTCGAGGACGGGCATCTAAATCAATTGTAAAGAAAAATCAATCGAAGCGGTTCGGTGGTAAGTTGCGGGGAAGTCCCAAGCGAGAACGCGATTCTGCAATGAATTGTCAGGCAGTATCAGGCCGGAGCCGCGATTCGGTGGCAAATTGCCAGGAAGTCGCAAGCGAGAGCGCGATTCTTCAATAATTTCAGATGGAATATCAGGCAGGATCCGTTGTTGTTGTAAACCGGGGGCCAACGACACAATTTGACCCTCAAGACTTTCCCTGATAAAAAACCTGGTGCGAGCGCCGGGAGGGGCACTTCAATCAAAAAATACCATGTGCACCGGGCGGGGGGGATCAACAATAACTATTCTTCAGGAGCGAGGGTTCAACAACAACAAGAACAACAACAACAACAACAACAACAACAACAACAACAACAACAACAACAACATCAGCAACAATTACTAGCACGTGGGGACACTCCGTTCTCACCAGTGCCAGGGTTTTCATAGGAGGCGGGCAATACCCCCACTTTGTGGGGGGGCCGGTTCAAGCTCTACCAAATTTCCAAACGACTCTTCGCCACCACCCACACCCAGCTTCCCGCCCTATGACGTTCGGACACTTCACTTCGTGGCATGCGGACGACCGTGGCTACTATTCAGGGCCCCGCGGCCGACGACGACGGCGTGCGCGCGCGAAGAAAAAACGAATGTGTCCCGCATGGTATTATTTGACAGGGATGATGGCCCTGGCAGGTGCGCAACCGTTGTTGCAGAAGTTCGAAAAAGTTGCTCGCAAAAGCCCGTTTGACAGAAATGTTTAAAACGTGTTGGGTTTCCTACGAATCCGCAAGAGCGCGCGGGATGAAATTTTGACATTTTTTAAAAACAAAAACAAAACCTTGTTTTTGTTGATTTTGATGTTTTTATGTTAAAATCGCTACGAAAACTAAGGTTTTGGAAGGATTTCGTCTTGCGCGCGCGAATGTCCACTTTACCTTATTTTTTGCAAGGGATTCTTGAAGTTTGGTTATGTTAGAACAAGAAATGTCCACTTTAGCTTATTTTTTGCAAGGGAAAAACCGATCGTAACAACACAACCGGATCCGGACTCCCCCGTTTTGCCTGAGACTTCCTCACGAAAATGATGAAAATGAGGCTGCGGCCTAGGCGCGGCGGGGGGGTCGTGCACCAGGGGCCCCAACAATAATTATTCTTTAGAAGTAATGATGTTCAACAACAACAACAACAACAACAACAACAACAACAACAACAAACAGAAACAACAACTGTTTTGTGTCGTCGTAGTCGCCAGCGTATGCGCCTCAACTACTCCTGAACCTCCCCAAACCACGCTGGGCTCGAACGCGGAGTTCAAGCTCAAGCCCGCGCAGCGCCACTACAGCGCAAACAAACTACAGTGCAACGAAAACTGCCATACAAAAAAGGCAGTGCCAGAACAAAGATTGCTTTTGTGTCGTAGTCGCTGGCGTGTGACAACCCCTCCTGAAACTCCCGAAACCACGCTGGGCTTGCACGCGGAATTCAAGCTCAAGCTCTAGCAGCGCCACTACAGCACAAAAACGCTGCAATGCAAAACAAAACAAACTGCCCCAAAAACTGCTTGGGTGTCGTAGTCGCCGGCGTGTGCGCTGCAACCCCTCCTGAACCTCCCCAAACCAACCTAGTCTCGCACGCGGAGTCCTAAGCTCAAGCTCTAGCATCCGAAGCTCAAGCTCTAGCAGCGAGAAAGCGGAACCTCTGAGCTGCACAAAAAGCTGCCATCCAAAAAAATCTGCAATGCAAAAAACACAGTTTGTGTGTGTCGTAGTCGCCGGCGTGTGCGCTTCAACCCCTCCTGAACCACCCCAAATCACGCTATGTCTCGCAAGGGGAATCCTAAGCTCAAGCCCTAGCATCCGCAGCTCAAGCTCTACCATCGAAAAAGCGGAAATCCTTAGCCGAAGCCTCAGTCCCAAGATTTAAGCTTGCTCAGTTGACGCTTGGCGTCCAGCCGTGCGCTACACGGCCAAGGACTTTATCATGGCGAGCGCCTGAAGGGGTGATTCACCAAAAAAGGACTCCTAAGTCTTTGGGAGGGTATCTGACTTAGGAGGGCCCAGAACACCAGGGAGATGGGGTCGTCCCTGCACGTGTGTCAAACCGAACCGCCCAGAAGAGGTGAACCCCCTGGCGTCCCCGACCCCAACGTGAGCGGTCCCCAGGCCCCGGAGGGCGAGGGAGGCCCGAGAACACAGCAACGTGTGGTTCATCATGGCCCACGTCTGAGCGCTCCCCCCCCCCCTGAAGGGGCCCCGGCACACACAAAGAAACACACACAGATAAAAAGATTCCCCTGATTTTCCCATACCTCCTGGGTGTTCGTCTTCCCCCCCAGTTCCCATATTTTCCCATATATTTTCCTGGAGTCGACGATTCATTGTGTCTGTGTGTTTTTGCTCCCTCCTGACCCTCCTCCCCCCGCGCGGCCGCTCCCGTCTTTCCCCCCCCCCCCCCTCTGGCACGCCGGCCACATCGCCTGTCGGTACCCCCGAGTAGCCCCACGCCGGAGCGGACTGCCTCTGCCTTGCCGCCGACGACAAAAAGTGCTTCGTCATGGCGACCACCACCGAATGCAGAGCGCCCCACCATTGGGCGCCCGAGTTATCCGGGGTAACTCGGGTCCGGGGTAACTCGGGTTTGGATTCCCGAAAAAGGGACCCGAGTTAGCCCTGACCCGAGAGTTACCCCTGATGACTCGGGGCTCTGGACGCCCGAGTTATCCGGGGTAACTCGGGTCCGGGGTAACTCGGGTTTGGATTCCCGAAAAACGAACCCGAGTTAGCCCTGACCCGAGTTACCCCTGATGATTCGGGGCTCTGAAACCAGCCCTGCGGCCTTGCCGGGCATGACCTTGCAGCTCCGCACGCGCTTCACGGCCTCGTCCGGCGCCACCGCCGCGCGGACCGGCGCAGAGCCCGTCGACCGGGGCCGGGGGGAGCGGGACCGGGACCGGGACCGCGGCATGTGTCGACGACACGCAGGAGTGGCCCTGGCCAAGAAGGACCTGTGTGTGCGCGCTTTGCGGGGGTCGCGGGGGGGGCCAAGCCCGAGCGCGCCGGCCGCTGCTAGTATGTCGCATTCGGCCATCTGGGGACCCCCGTTTGGTTTGGATTGAAACACAAGATTTGAAGGATGCAATCGAATCGATGCGTGAAGAAATTGGAGTGAAGAGTGAGCATTATACCTTTAGTGTACCCCGCAAGAGAGAGATCACCCTGGCGGAAGGTCACTCCTGCGTGCAGTCGAATGCGTGGCTGGCGGGGCAGGGGCCAGGGTCGGCGGCTCCAAAGGGTGTGGTTTGCAGAGGGTGCGGTTTGCAACTGGCACCCTTGGGGGGGCACCCTGGGGGTCAACAGGGGGGGCCTCGATGGAGCTCTCCGCCGCGCCCCGCAGAGGCCCGACGAGGACGGTGTCGGGCCCCCCAAGCCCCCACGGCGCCGATCGCAAACCACAACCCGGCGTAACCGCACCCTTTGTAATCGCCGACAGGGGTGGAAGCCCTCGTTGAGCAGGGACAGACCGTCCCGGCATTCCTATAGTCATACCAGGGAATGTTCTAAGGAACAAAAACAATGTTCGTAGAACATAAACCCGATGTGTCAAAGCACGACAGTCCCAGCCAGAAATGTTCTAATTCCGTGGGAACCACAAAAGGTTCTGAGAGCATCGTTTGGTGGGGCTATAGGCGCGCCGGGACGCTTCGCCACTGCTTGAAGCCTTGGGACCGACCCTGCCTGGCGAGGCCGCCTGGCGGGCCTGGGCGAGAGCGGCGCCGGCCCCAGGCTCGCCGAGATGGCGAGAGCTCCAGCCGAGATGGCCACGGTCACCTCGGGCAGCTCTGCTCCGGTCCCCCCTGCTCGCGCTCCCTCCTCACGTCCTCCTTCCTACTCCTCGCCCCTCCTCCCCCCTCTTCCGTCCCCTGCCTCCTCCGTCTCCTGCCTCCCCCTCTCCCCTTCCTCCTGCCTGTTCCCTGTTCCGTACTTCTCATCCAAGTCCGTCGCCTTCTCTCTGCTCGTCCCTCTCCTCCCCATCCTCCACCTCCTCCTCCTCCTCTTTCTTCTCCTCCTCCTCCTCCTCCTCCTCCTCTCCTCCTCCTCCTCCTCCTCCCCTCCTCATCATCATCATCATCATCATCATCATCATCATCATCATCATCATCATCATCATCATTCACATCATCATCATCATCATCCTCATCATCCTCATCCTCATCCTCATCCTCATCCTCATCTTCCTCCTCCTCCTCCTCCTCCTCATCCTCATCATCATCACCATCACCATCACCATCATCATCATCATCAGCATCAGCATCATCAGCAGCATCATCAACGACGGCAACAGCATCATCATCAGCACCATCATCAGCATCAGCAGCCTCGTCATCATCATTTGCATCATCATCAGCATCATCATCAGCATCACCATCAGTATCATCATCATCATCATCATAATCATCAGCATCATCATCATCATCATGGCCAGCATCAGCATCAGCATCATCATCAGCACCATCATCAGCATCAGCAGCAGCATCGTCAGCATCAGCATCGGCTTCATCATCATCATCAGCATCATCATCAGCATCACCATCAGTATCATCATCGTAATCATCATCATGATCATCAACATCATCATCATCATCATCATCATCATCATCATCATCATCATGGCCAGCATCAGCATCAGCATCATCAGCACCATCATCAGCATCAGCAGCAGCATCGTCAGCATCAGCATCGGCATCATCATCATCATCATCAGCATCATCATCAGCAGCAGCAGCATCATCATGATCAGCATCATCAGCATCATCATCATGCTCATCATCATCAGCAGCAGCATCAGCATCTGCACCATCATCAGTAGCATCATCATCATCAGCATCATCATCATCATCATCATCATCATCATCATCATCATCATCATCATCATCATCATCATCATCATCATCATCATCATCATCATCATCATTAGTTATCCCTGCTCCTCCTCCTTCTCTTCCTCCTCCCTCCATCCTTCCTCGCCTGCCTCCCTCATTCTTCCTCCTCATCCTCCTCATCTTCTTCCTTTGTCCTTCCTTCCGCCTTCCCCCCTCCTCCTCCTCCTCCTCCTTCTCCTCCTCCTCCTCCTCCCTCCTCCTCCTCCTTCTCCTTCTCCTCCTCCTCCTCCCAGCTCACTACGGCGAAGGATGGCACCGAAACCCTGGCCTGTCCACGTCCCAGCTCACCAGGCACCAGGGGGGCGATCGGAGCCAGAACGTCGCGGCTGCTGAGAAGATCTCGGGGGAGGGAGGGCAGGTTCACAGGGAGATGAGCAGCAGCAACATCACGAGAAAGGAGGAGGAGAAGGACGACGACGAGGGGCTGGAGGGAAGGACAGATTGAACGAGGAGTGCGGAGGGGAGGGGAAGAGGGACGGAAGAGGGAGGGAGGCGGGGCGAAGATCGTGCACCGGGTGTAGCCCGGAAAGAGGAGGGATGCGGGATGAGGAATGGGAGGAGGAGCACCAACAAAGAGGGGATATGTCTGCATCAAGCTTCGCATGAGCACCCTGGGGCTATCGTAAGGGTGCGCTTCGGACCCTGAAGTTGCCGAAAGGGCAGTATCGTATGATCCTTCTTCTTCTTCTCCTCCTCCTCCTCTTCGTCATCGTCGTCGTATGCGTCGTCGTCATCATCAAATCAGCAGCAGCATCACTGTCATCTTCATCATCAGCAGCATCATCGCATCATCAGCATCATCGTCTTCATCATGGTAATGATCATCATCATCATCATCATCAGCAGCAGCAGCAGCATCATCGTCAGCAGCAGCATCATCAGCAGTAGCAGCATCTGCATCCTCATCGGCAACTACATCACCATCAACGTCAGTCTCATCATCATTGCTACGATGCCCACACAATCACAATCATCACCACCACCATCATAATCGCCAACATCATCATCCTCATCACCATATCATCCTAATAATCGTAATCAGTATCAGCATCAGCATCACCAGCAGCAGCAGCAAGATCATCATAAACATCGAAAACAACAGCAGATCATCACATCAACATGCACGGTGACGTAATAATCGTCCTTCTCAGCGTCGATGTCGGCATTGCCATCAACATCATCATCACCACCACCACCACCATACCATCATCGCCATCGTCATCGTCGCTCCCATCGACATCGCTCTCGTCCTCTCTCCTCACCTTGACACCCCAGCTGGACCATCACGAACCTTCACGCACCACCTAACCTTCCCAGCATTGCGGGCTCTGCCTGATAGATGAGCAGGTCGTCGACGTAGATCTCCACATCGCGCACCCCTCGAGAGGGGGTCCTCGGGATTGCGGCGCCACCCACGCCACACTCTCTTAAACTGGGTTCAGTAGTGTACAGAAACCTTTGTCCGGACACACCTTCTTCCAGACCAGGAAGCCCAGAACCACTGAGAACATGGTTTAAACATCTGTCTGGACCTGGGAAGCCAGGCCCATCGTCACGACAATCGGTTCGGTGCAACTCCGCCGAAACTCAAAAACCCAGGACAATGCGGAAAATAAAAAAACACGAGGCTATCATCTAACAAGTTGGCTTGGATGACCAAGATTTCCAAACACTATCTGCAGCTGAGGACTTTCTGGGCGCGCCTAGCCAAAGGCCTATACTGCATAACGTATTGGGAATCAGACAACCTGGCCTGACAACCAGTCTCATCGAAACAGCACGTTTAAGATATCCTGTGGCCTGGGGCGCCACCCTCCCCCTCCGCCGTGCGCTTCTGATCGTGATTTAGGCAACCCAGGCATGCCAAGTATCTGCACACGTACATCGAGTTTTACGCGTACACGCCTGTGCGTACTAGAACCATCGCGCGCGCTTCGCGCGCGCTCAAGTTCTACTTATCATGGGACCAAACGTATAGCGCGTCAGAGGGACCGTGTCCAAATTATCGGGCCTTGGCTTGGTAGCCCACGAATTGGTGTGCAAAGTCGTATTGAGGCTTGATGGTCGCGGCAATCATAGGCCGTCCTTGGGCAATCGCGCAATTCTCTTCGGAACCGTGTGGGCATCCGAGGCCATCTTGGAACCACGGCTTCCCATCACACGGCGCGAATCCCCGACAAGAAAAGGAAACTGTTTTGCCTCGGCGGCCAGGCAGGGGTCGTCTGCGCTGGCGGAAGGAGCTACCTGAACGGGGGCACCGCTGTCGCGAGGTGCCCAGCGTGCAGGAGCGGAGCAACCACGGGACCGAGCGGGCGGCCGCAAGGAGGGGGGGGGGCGCAGGGCGAGGGCCACGCAGGGGGGGGACGGATCGAACGAGACGAGGAAGCACGTGGGGATTCGTTGTGGTCTTGCCTGGTGCGGCCGTCTTGGACAAGCCCTGCGTGGGCCCTCTGGCGGCCTCCCGGGGCCTCGCCGTGCTGCCAGAGACGTCCCGAGGCAGCCTGGGGGCACTATAGTGCAGCCCTCTTCGGGACCAGCTGGGCCTCCCAGGCCACCTTTTGAAACCGCAGATTCCCAACACGTGGTGGGAATTCCCGAAAAGAGAAAGAAACCACGTTGTTTGGGCTTCGCGTTGGCGTTGACTGATCTGGCTCTCTTGGAAGCCCCGCGTGGACGGGTCTCACGCGGGGTGGCGTAGCGACATTGCGCCGCAGCTTACGCGGGCCGCCCGCCTGGCACGCTGCACTGGAAACGGGGGCGCTTACGCGCGACCTTACACGGGCAGCTTACGCGCCAATGTCGGCGAAGACGGCCCAGTTTTTGTTGCGCTGTCCACGTTGGGAGTCGTTTTGGTCTTGACTGATTCGGCCGTCTTGGAAGCCCTGCGGAGGCCCCAGGGCCTCGCTGCTGTGCAGCCGGAGACATCCCCTGAGACGGCCTGGGGGCCTCGCTCTCCTGGAGCTCCTGCACGGCTCTGGGGGGGTTCAGCAGCTAAGGTAAAAGGCGCAGCGACGGCAGAGGGCGTCGAATCCACTACCGACGACGAGGGCCGCTACAGTGCACCACGACGAGAGCGACGGGGCGCAACTATAGCGGCAATGCAGTCCTATGTGCACGGGGGGCCTGCACCCACACCCCAGGAGTCGCCTAAGAGGAGGAGGAGGAGGAGGAGGAGGAGGAGGAGGAGGAGGAGGAGGAGGAGGACGAGGAATGGGGGAGAAGGGAGCGGGGAGGAGGAGGGAGTGGGGAGGAGGACGAGGAACAAGCAGGAAGGAGAAAGGAGGAGGAGTGAGAAGAAGGGAGGAAAGCTGGAGGGCGAGTGGGAACGGGAGTTGAGAAACGGGAAGAGGGTGGAGGAAGGAAAAGGCAGCAGGAAATGAAGGAGGGCAAGAGGAGTGAGAGAGGACGAAGGCGGGAGGGAAAAGGGAGGGGGAAGCAGGGAGAGGAAGGAGGGGTGGGGAATGGACATGGGGGAGGAGACAGGAGGAGGAGGACCTGCCGCAGCGGAGGCGTCTTCGATCTGAGGCGCGCTGTGAGCATCTTGACGTCTCTACGGGGGCCGCTGGGGGGACTCGTGAAGGCCCCTTGGGCGCCTGCTGGGGGCCCCTGGGCTTCCTGGAGGCCTCTTGGCGGCCGCTGGGTGCCTCTCGGGGACCGCCGCGGTGCTCCGCGGGCCAGCCGTGGCGCCGAGGGCGAAAACGGAGGACCGCTCGGGGGGCGCTTTCGGGGGCCTCTTTTTGGGCCTCTCGGGGCCCCACTCGAGGCGCTTTGGGGCCATCGCGGCCCACTCGTGAGAGCCGCGCTCGGGTCACTCTGGACTTCGTGGGGCCCTCCTGGGAGCCCCTTCGGCGGCCGTGGGGCGCTCTTGGGGACCTCTCGGAGCAGCCTGGGGCGCTGGTGGAACAAACAAACAAAGCTAATTGAAAGGGCCCTGGGACACACAAATAAATACACACAAATTACCGGACTCCCCATATTTTCCCATATTTGGGGGTTTTCGTCTTCCCCCCCACTTCCCATATTTTCCCATATTTTCTGGAGAATCCACGATTAATTGTGTCTGTGTTTTTTCCTCTCTTGAAGAATGCCAAACGTCGAAGCACGTCTTCCAGAGAGAAGGGGACGATGCTTGCCGCTCGAGGCGCTCGAGGGGGTTCTCTTGGAGCCTTCTTCGAGCGTCCTGGAAACCCCCTGGGCCGTCTTGAGGCCCTTTCGGGCCGCCCTGGAGAAGTCTGGAAACCATCTGGGACGTCTGGAACTTCTCCACCGTGGGCCCCTCGAGCTTCCGGGAAGCCCCTGCGGAGGCTCCAGGGACGCCCCGGGGAGGCACCCGGCGGGGCGGCGGCACCCAGTGTACCCCAAGTGCCCCCAGCGATCCTTGGCCCGAGGTCCCCCGGGGCTGGGCTCCGGCATGTAGGAGACACACATGAGCGACGATCAAGAACTGGTCCTACGCGAGAGGACGTAGCGGCCTTACGCGGTGGCTTACGCGGGGCGCCAGCGCGGCACGCTACTTTGGAGAGCAAGGCGCTGATGCGCGACCTTACGCAGGCAGCTTGCGCGCAAATGTCGGCGCAGACGATCCCGTTTGTGGCGTCGCTCGCATGCTTCTAAGCATCCCTGGGTGCCGATGCCGAGATCCGAGGAGCACACGTTTGTCTTGGGAGCTCGCCGGCAGCGCGCTGGCATCAGGGAAGACTCAGAGCCAGCCCTCGGGGACGGGAGCAAGTTTCCTCCCAGGGAGCGACCTCCTCCTCCACCCTCGCTCCTCCTCCTCCTCCTCCTCGTCACGGTCGCTCCTGTCCTCCTCCTCTTCCTCCTCCTCCTCCTCCTCCTCCTCCTTCAGCCTCGGAATCGAAACTGGGCATGCTTGTTTCGGGCCCCAATTTGCAGGATTCCGCCTCAGGAATGGGCGCCATCGCGGACGGCATCGTCGTGCGGGATGACCCCCTCCCTCTCGCCCCTCCTCGGCGAGGACCGTCAAAAAGCCTCGTCGGTGAGAGCCGTCATTAGGCCTCACACACCCCGCAGCTTCCGTGAATGGGGCTGCGGGGGTCCTGCTCCCACCAGTCAACCTTCCATTTTGCCGTGAATAGGCACCGGAGGGGGCCGAGGACCCCCCTACGGTCCCTCGGCCAATGAAGACGGCCGTAGAGGGGGGGTGACCCGTACCTCCACCTCAAGGCACACTTGTGCCACCACCTTCAATCAGAGGCGTCACTTGCCACCCACCACTCCTATCCTCCGCCTCCTCCTCCTCCTCCTCCTCCACCTCCTCCTCCTCCTCCTCCTCTTATTATTATTATTCTTCTTCTTCTTCTTCTTCTTCTT